TGGGATTAAAAAGAAGATGAATAGGCAGCAAAAGCAGCCATCCACCCTGCTGTGCACACAGAGGATAATTGTGGATGGTGGATGGTTAACTGTTTGGCTCTTCCTCTACTAAAACGGTGTGAAAGAGGGTGAATCTCAGCAGGGAAAGAGCTGCCCTTACCTTTATAGGAAGTGGCTCCATGGCAAGTTCTAGTAACAGATGTATGTAACTGTGTGTTATGATCCTGTTTGCATTAAACTTCATTGTGGGCATTTTCAGTGACAGTCTTATGTACTTGTTAACATGTAGGGGGCTGGCATCTTCAGCTAGCAGACCTCGTGAAGACAGTTGGTTAAAGTCGCTATTTGTTCGCAAAGTCGATCCAAGGAAAGATGCTCACTCCAACCTTCTAGCCAAAAGAGAGACCAGCAGTCTGTATAAACTACAGAGTGAGTGATGCCTTTATATTTCCCATTCCCATTTCTTCATTCTGTTCCTGCATTCCTCACGTAATGTTGTTGTTTCAGTTCACAATGTAAAACCAGAATATCTAGACGCCTACAACAAGCTTTGGTAAGTGTGTGTGTTATGTTTTCATGGTTTAGACACGTTGATTTGATCATAAACTGTATTGGCAAATATAATTATTTAGAGGGGAGGTGGAAGAATTCTGCTTTTACTTTCAGGGTGTGGGGTTAAATAGATCATATTTTTCTTGGCGAGAAATGGCAATAGATACTTTACTCATTTCACCCCCTGCCTTCCCTCTTGGAGGTATCATTTTCTAAGCTGCAATTTAGGATGATGCCTGTTGTGAGCACACTGGTGGCATTTGTTGGAACAGCTCTGCCCCTTCCCTTAGTTGTCTTACAGTTGCTGGTCTGTGCAGGTAGATCCTGATATGTTAGGATGTCTCACTCCAGCTGCCATGTAGGAATGTGTTCAGAGTGGTTGTCTGCATACAGGAAGGAAAGGGAGAGGTCAGTGGTAAGTAAAACTACATGCTAGTATGAAACTGAAGTATAACTTTGAGGAGATTTTAAAAACCATGGGGCTGACTTTTTCTCAGCTCATCTATGTCCTTTTATAAAAGTAGTGCTGCTGAGATCTGCTCCTAAAGAGCTGTGCAAATCCTTGAATAGGATCTTGGTATTGGGGTCATATCTTCAAAGGGAGCAGTAGTTAATGGCTTTTCCAGAAAGCTACGGCTTTATTTTAGTAAAATTTTAAATTCACTATTCAAGGATGAAAGTGCAGAAATCTTGGTCCTGTTCTGCCTTTATAATCACTGCTCCAGAGCCAGCACAACTGCCTGTTCAAGAGCTGTGTGTTTAGATTTGGAAATGCAGTGAGCCTCATGTTTCTAAACAGCAGTGCTGTCTCACTGACAGGGATCATCTTGTCAGTTAAACAAAACATTCTTACCATAATGATACCCTACTGCAACCAATGTTTTTAAGTGTGCTATATCAGTGAGAACACCATGTGGGCTGGAGGGTGGGGAAGGAGTTCACAACTCCTAGTTTACGTCCTTTACTCTGTTACTGGTTGGCTGTACTAGCCTTTGGCTAGATAACCCAAAACTCTTTTCCTTCCTATACAAACATAGAAATCCACTAGAATAACACTCAGTCATAAGGTATATTTAGCTTTTTTGTTTAAAAACAAAATACAGAGAGAAACAAAATTAGCATTCAGCCAGCTTTCTGTCTAAAAGCTTAATATAAACATGTCCAGTTATACAAGATGGAGCCATTTCTCTGTGTTATCTCATGAGCTACCTAAATAATGAGTGAAAGCAGAGGCTTTTATTTTCAAGGAAAGAGACAGTAGCAAAGAAGGAAGTTACTGACAGCAATCGGATGAAGTACATGTGGTTAGATTTATCCTAATCCAGAGCAAATTTAAGTATTCCAGGGAAGGAGAAAAGAATAGAGGAATAAAAAACCCAAAGCCTGTCCAAACTTCCCTCCCTCCTCTCCCTAAAGGAAAGATGAACAGATTACTTCTTTATAGCAAATCAGAATACCGATTGGTCATTATGTATTAATAAAGAAATAATGTAATGAAGACAGTTATGAGAGTGCTGGATGAATAACTGTGAGTAAGGACCCCTCCAGAAAAATGAAGAAGAGTTATTTTTTAAAAAGAAAAAGATGGCATCTTTTTTTAAAAAGTTTTAAGGTATTATGTGGTGGTTTTTTTTTCTATAATTTGCAATAAAATATATTTTAGGGTTATTGTAATAATCTAACATTGATGTTGAAAGCTGCCTTTCTAGGACTTCACTATGCTTTGCAAAAATGAACCGATGGTGAAACAGCCTTGGAGAGTCATTCTATCTTATTTACACTGTGTAGTGAAAAATGGTGAGGTACAAATTGATACAAGAGTTGCTCAAGGTTGTCTAAAAAGTCAGTGCCAGAATCAAGAGGAAAACTCCTATCTAATACTCTCAGCCCAAGGCCAGCCTTTTATTTGATATCATGTAGAGACTCATTGCCTATGAGCCAAACTGAGTAAGAGGGGTAATTATTCAGGGGAAAATAGGAAAAGGTGAAGTTCAACCAGGCTAATTGCCTTATTCATCAAAGTACAGTGCAAGGAAAGCTGTCTTCAATGAGTCAGCAATCAGTGAAGCTTCTCCTGAAGCTAATGTAGGTCACTTTTAAAGTTTGAAAAAGCCATTAGGAATACTGGCAATAGTCAAACAGAAATGTTGTGTTGGGGGTATTTTGAAGGCAGTTCCACCGAATGCTTCAACGGGTGAGTTGCCTCAAATGAAAACCACTTTCTGAAATGGTAGAAAGGAGTAAGGCGGTATACTATGAAGTACAATAGTCATTTGATCTGTCAAAATACTTGGTTTTATTCATTCACCTCCACAGTTAATAGCATTGTAACTGATACAGAAGGCTGTCCTTTGCTATTGTTGTGTGTTCTGCCTCCCTTGATAAAGAAAAGCTTTTCCCAAAGCATATCACCTATGTAGTTAATCTGTGTTTTCTGTAAGTGAGACATCCTGATATTTATTTTCGTGATGTTGGATAACCTTTTAGGTGACAGACATAATGTATTGCATCGAAAGAATTCTACTATGCTGTGTATGTGTCATACAGTCTTAAGAAATGGTAACATTTCCCTTAATTTTCCATAGTGGTGTAGCTGTCTTTCCCCTGTGTAGCAGATCTTTGTATTTCAGCTTTCTCTTCTGAAAAGTAGAGCTTATGAATTTTCATACCATAATATAAACATGTGGTGATTTATTATACATATCAACTGTAGCCTCCCTGAAGGAAATGCAATATAGTGTCTGTATTCCTTGTTTTCAAGTCAAGAGGTGCTGCCAAAGATTCATGAAGAAAAACACTACCCATGTGCACTGGTGGGGACTTGGAACACGTGGTACGGAGAGCAAGATCAGGCTGGTAGGAGATAGAAGTACAACAGAATGTAAAACCATACAAGTGAAACGTGTGCTTGGCAGGTTTCTTCTCTTTAAATCATCTCTGTTGACAGTAAACCTTTAGCAATGTATACAGCAAGGGTGTGTGTGCATCACTTATCAATAGTCATAACATTTACAGTGCTTGCTTTTTGTCTTGTTGAGTTTGACAGTAAAGCATTAATTCCTAAAATTTGTTCTATCGTTAATACACTTTCATGTTTTCCAGGTGGTAGATTAACAGATCTGGGAAATGCTTGTGAAATGTGGTCCTCTAGTATGTTGTGGGCACAGATCATGTTCCTGAATATTTAGGGTAAAGGCAAAGGCTTACAAGGACAGATTTTATCATGCACTGGCCAGCATGAAAAGCTTTATTCTAACTTTCATACTGTAATTGCTGTATGATACCAAAGTACAAATCATTCATGTCATCTGAAAAAGAAATGATTGCATTGTAGATTCAACAATAAGCTAGGCCTTTACTGGTGGAAAGTAAGAATATTTCTGTTCATGCTCATAGAAGGATACTGCCTAAGTGTGCAGACTGAAAGTATGTTGGAACTATTAATGACTGAAGAGCTGCTACAGAGGTAAATACAAAGAGTCTAGTGTAAAGAGAAAACCTGAAAAACTCCCTAGGCTCTTGGAAATGGAAGGAATGGGAAACCACAGAGTGATATACTGATATTTGTTACCTAGTTTGTTATGTAGCTCCATTGTTAGAGCTATGCTAATATCGATGTAATTGCTTCGTTATTAAAACTACACTCATGTACGCATGAATTCGTCCTGCATTCACAGCATATTGCAATATTGGCACTGAACAAATGCAAAGAAGTAGCAGTAGATAAACCAACCAATGTCTGAGAAACAAGGCTAAAAGTTGAGGGGAAATTGGGGAATGAAGACAGTTGAAATGAGAATATTTTAGCCAAGTCTCATCTGTTGCTTCTGTAACATATTAACACTGACTGTATCTGTAATTGCATCCATAGCTTGCCTTGAAAATGTTATTGCAGCAGTTCTAGCGGTGTAATGAAGCAGAGTATTGGGTTTTGATTTGTTCAGTATTTGTGCCCAGGCTATGTTAATATTAGGTGGATAAATCAAATTTGCCCTGGGGATGAGACAGCAGAAGCAGATGCACTGCATGAATCTGCTATCATAGTGAAGTGCCTTACATTAGTCTCCAGTTTGCTCTCCTGGAGAGAACAGGCACAGGACTGCTTTAGAGGAGAGAAAACAGCTTTTGTGACTCTTTGAGGTGAAATATTGTTGCCTTGCTATATTAAGTGCTTGTAAATACATCTTGTTATAATTTATTAAAGAGATTATGATTTATTAAAGAGAGAATGCTTTGAAAAAAAACATAAATGTGGATATGTGTTCTCAATATGTTTTTATGGGGAAGATCCTAGCAAATGTAACAATTCTGGCATGTTCAGATACCTTCTGCCTTTTTTAATGTAATGTTTACCGCAAAACCATCATTTGCATCATTTTTCGTGTCCTACAGAAAGTGTATTGCTTTTTGTGCTTACTGAATTAACAAGTCTACCCCTCTATTGCTCTGAGATGAAATTGGTATAAAGCACATTTCTGAACTTAAATTATCTTCTGAAATGAGGATACTTGAAACTCCAGTCACATAAAGTTATCCCAAAGCATGGCAACAAAAAGCCCTTTCAGAAATTGCCCTGTTATCTTTGGAGTAGATGGCAAAATTTGCCAAGAGAACCTTTTTCCAAAAGCAGATGATTCCATTATTCTTAAAATGCTCCCAATTCACAAAGAAAGCATGTGTAGTGCTTTCTTTAATGCCATTTACTTTGAAACATGTTACCTGATTTCTGGGTTTTGTATAATTCTGTAGTATGAACAGCATTTTATACTGTGACATTCCGTAACATTTAGCACAGGTCTGTGACATCCCGGAAAAAGCTTCCTTTTGTCTGTTTCAGTTCATCTGTGGAGATATGAGGGAGGGTATCCAGCTCTCAATGAGGTCATGAATAAACTCCGTCAAAATAAGGTAAAATGTGTTCATTTTGTTAAAGTTGGTTATTTTACTCAGAAGAGAACAAATAATAGTTAAAGCAAGAAGCTGCACATTTGGGTACCTGCGTTTGCTTCAGTATCTCATCCCTTCCTGAAAGAAACCTCTTTGGAAAAGGGTCTATTCTCATATTTAGGAATACTGAGGTTTAATGCCTGAATACTTTCTGAAACAAGTTCACTTAGTGCTATGGAAACATACCAGTTGAAATCTTCAAATATGCCAGGGGAATTTAGATGCCTTTGCAATTTAAAGGATTTCCATGTCCCAGAATCCCAAGACAGCATTAAAACCCCCTATGCCACCACATGGTAGACTGCTTTTTGTTGTTGAAACAGAACACACACGTTGACAGTGATCCCATTGGTTTTTAGGAATTCACAGAGTTCCGCAAAGAAAGAGGTAACATGCTCCTGTCCCGCAAGAACCAGTTGTTGTTGGAGTTTAGTTTCTGGAATGAACCTGTTCCCAGAGCGGGGCCTAATATTTATGAACTGAGATCCTATCAACTTAGAGTAAGTTTAATTGTTTTCTGTTTCCTTTTTAAGCTCTATGCTATTGCAAAAGGTTCAAAGCATGTTTATACAATATAGATGGAATACAGACCTCATCTTAGAAATGTGGTTCTTATCAAAGCTGGTGTCTGAGTTGGTCTCAAAGTGGGGGGTCCAAAATGAAGGCAGGCTCCAACAAGATACTAATATCTGCAGGGCTGAAACCCCTGTGTTCTTATTTGAAGGAAACTTCAGGCAGAAGGAAGTAATACAGTAAGTAAACAGAATAATTACAGATGATTATACTATGTTTATCACTCAAAGGAAGTGATTTTGTTAATACATAGTGTTTTCCATATGTAAATGTTGTGAAAACTGTCCAAGTATTCTAACTTTCTTTCAACTACAGTTTAACAGTTTGTTTTGGTTTTTGTAGCCTGGAACAATGATTGAGTGGGGAAATTACTGGTAAGTGTCACTTTAGCACTTGTTTTCTCCTATTTGGGAGCCTTATGTTAAAAAATCATGAAGTGGAGGTGGCAGGATGGTACCAGTGCATTTCAGTCACCCAGTTAATGGCCTGCTTCTGTACTTAAGCAACTTGTAGGACAGTTCTTTGACCCTTAATTTATCCTTCAAGGAAAGAAAGGGGAATTCTGTGTGCAAACAACACTAAGGGCTTTATAGTTTAGCTTTCCTTCATATAACCCTTTTAGTTTGCTGTAACATAGCAGAAACCATTTATTTTCATCAAAAAGCATAGTGAAGGTTTGCAGTTAATTCCTTAAGACAGTGTTGATCTTTCACAAACCACAAGAACCTGACATACTTTTGGTTTGAATGGGCTAAATCTTTGCTCTTTTAATCTTTAAAAGTCAAGTTGCTTCTTGAAAAGCTGATGGGCAGCATATTTCCATTTTAATATCTAGGTTAAAAGCATTTGAGACAGCCTTCTGTTGAGTATATGCTTCTGATTTTGTCTTACTGAAAACCAATGTAAGTTTTGTTCAGTTTACATTCACTGTCCTTGCAATTCTAATGGTTGATAGTGACACCATTTGAAGTATTTTCAAGTAGTTTGACAAAGGTGAGGACTTGGATTTTCAGACGTGTCATTGTAATTGATGCAATTAATGTCTGTAGTAGTAGCCAATCTGTTTCAGAAGTTGCAGCAGATTAATACTTAAGTATTGATCTTACTTACACAACAAATCATGGAGTGTTGCATAGGACAGCTGCATTCAAAGGTCTGTGTGAATTAAAGAGTTGTATTTCACTTCCCCAAAATCTGTGGTAAATGAGGGTGATATGACTGAAACTCAAGGATTTTGTTTTAGAAGAACCTGCTATAACAATGACGTGCCACTTTCCGCTGGCCCAGCAGTTATCTTTATACTGAATCTAACCTTGAAGAATGACTAATGCACAGTCTAGTAAAACCATGGGCCTGCAATTTTAACTCATTGTAACAGGTATACTTTAAATACATAGTGCTGAGGAGCAGTGTATTGCAGAGGTTTTTCTTATTTTTAATTGTGGATACTGCAGATGCTGTTTAACACCTCAAGTGCTTTCAATGCTGTTTTCCTTTTGGCTATCGCCTATTTCCTACCCAGATCTCCTGGTTTTAATGGCTGCTTTGCTCTTCTCTAGGGCTCGTGCAATTCGTTTCCGACAGGATAATAATGAAGCAGTTGGAGGCTTTTTCTCACAAATTGGACAGCTGTATATGGTTCATCACCTCTGGGGTAAATCTGTGTTCTCTGCTTTTATCTCACTGAATCAGCCCCCAGCAGACTGTTGCCTTTGCCCAGAAGACAAGGTTTTTACAAAAGGCAAAGGAGTATCTTTAAAGGTTGTTGGGATTTTTTTGTTTTGCATTGACAGTGCTGATGGTTTTGTGTAGGTAACTTTATTCTTCAAACAAGCAAGCAGAAGCGAACATTTCATGTTTCATTGCCTTTCCATCCACAGTTTCTCATGGCCCTTTCTTATTAGGGACTTACTTGTTTGCTTTCAATAACATAAGCATGACAAGCAATATCCTGCCATCTCTTGTCCATCCGCGTTCATGCTGAAGTCAGGTTTTTACAGTTTAGTTTCAAGCATCACATACACCACACCTACAAAAAGGAAAGTCAAGCGTTTATTTACATTACTACATCCAGGTGTTTTGGCTTTCTCTGTATGTCAGTCTCCACAAATGCTTTATCTGCTTCTGCCATTGTTTGAACTTGAAGAAACTCATCATCTAATATTTAGTTTAGAAAATACACAGTATTATCTTCACATCTCAACAACTCAGAGTATTACATTCTAGCATTAGAAATCTGACAGCACTCGTGTAAGCTCTAGCTTTATCTGCCTTACCTGTGTCTAAGGCATTCCCTCCTTTCCCCAGTTCCTTCTGTTTGTGTGACTTTGGGAGCTCTTCGTTTTTGTGGAGAAGAACTTCTGGCTTTATTCCTTCCCAGTGTTTGCAGCCTCCTACTTATGCACTAGAATACTTTTAAGGGAGCTATTCATGTGTAGAAAGAAAAAGAGTAACTTCTAAGCTTTGTGCTTGTTGTTTTCCCTCACCAGCTTACAAAGATCTCCAAACCAGAGAAGATATAAGGAATGCTGCATGGCATAAACCAGGCTGGGATGAGCTAGTCTACTACACAGGTAACCTATTAACTTCACTGGAATGCTGGAGGTAGACTTTTGTGCATGCCATCGTTTTTCTTCTTTAGTGCATTGCACAGTGCTAACTTTTGCATCTCTGGTGCTTGTGTCTGTGTCCAAAATGCAGGGAGCCCCTAGTGAAATTTATATTGAATTATTCTTTATAATATTTATGCAGTACAGGAGCCTTGTTAAAGGCATTCCTTTGAAAGGGGAATTTCAACTTTGGAACTAAAAGCCAGGAGATCTTTGAGATCAAAGATAGCTTTCATAACAAACCTCACCAAAGTATGCTCAGCACCACACATTTGGGTACCACAGGGTGCATTTCAAAGGAAATATACCAGAAAAATGTAAGCTAACTTTGATTATGGTGGAAGGGACTAGAACTGAAATGCATCAGTTACAGGAATGTCAGTGGCTGCTGATGACTTGGCATGCACTAGCTAGGAGAGTAACTTGAGGGTAACAATAGCAGTTCAAACCGAGTGTGCAGAGCTGTTCATGATCTTTGTTAGTGACGTTAAACCCTGTCTCCCTTTTTTTTCAGTGCCCCTTATTCAGGAAATGGAGTCCAGAATCATGATACCATTGAAGATATCTCCGCTTCAGTAAAGTCACTGATTTACTTGTGCCTACATAGATAAAGTGACAAGTATTTGTCTTAAATTAATTTATGGTATACATTGTATATCATAGTCTGAAATATAAAAGTACTGTATTAAGCTTATAAAAGAGACCTCTTTTCTTCAGAATCTAATGACTTTTTGCCCTTAGGATTGTACCAAGAAAGCAAGAAATACAGGACTGGAATTAAGTGTTGGTTAATTGAAAACAAGTACAAAGACATACATGAGTTCCTCTGTGAGACAGCTCCTCAGGTTAAGTATGGCATACAGTATTTAGTATCTTCTGTTACATAGACAATGCCCAGTGTTCACTAACAGCAACAGAGTTAAGTGTTACAGTTGTTGTGGCCTTTGTCTAGCATTACGTGACTGCAGATTCTAAAGGCAAACGTGGAAGTTCTGAGACTTGAAGCTCTGAAGCCCTCAGGCAGCTCTGAAATACACCTTCACTGTTCTAGCAGGCCTGAGTCAGTAAGTAGCTCTAAGTTTACCAATAGGCAGTCATGAACTGAGGATAGTACTCTCTGCCAGGTCATAGCTTATGGACAGAGAACAGGGCATTCTGTTTTGCCAGGGCTCTGAAGCCTGTTGACAATAACCACATCTTTGTGTAGATCTCTACACCCGCAATGAATCTTGTGAAGTGTAACCCACGGTTTTCAAAGAGATACTGGCCAGGCGTAGTTGTCTGAGTGTTCTGCAGGGAATCAAGTTCAGTTAAACACATTTATCTCTACAGCTAAGGTGGAAGTCTAGGAAAAGGGGTTTAATTTAATAAGCAATCATGACTTCAGACATTTGCTTGGTCGGGTGTTTCACTAAGTGTACAGTAGGTACTTAACAAATCGATGTGTGAAACTGCCGCATGTTGAGTCAATAGGATTGGCATATAGCGGTGTACCATTATGTCCAGTTCTATTTTGGTTTCACTTTTAGACTAGAATGTATCAACCTTTTTGGTGTCTGCAATGATGTGAACATCCTGTAAGTGAAAATAATATTCTCTCTTTCAAGTGGCTGCAAGAATCAGTGTAACTTACAGAATGTACAAATCAGTTACTCGATGTCCAGTTTGTACATTTCAATGAGTTTTCAGGAAGAACATACCAGTCAATAAAATCCTTTTACTTTTCACATTTTACTGGCACCTTGTATGTATTGCACCACCCATGTCTCCTCTCATCTTGCAGTGTTAATTATGGAAAATGTGAATAATTGTGGAGAATATTCCAGCTCAGTTAGCCACTGTCACTTCTCTGGGTTAGGGACAGCATTTCCCAGTATCCTGCTCTCTTTCCCCAAAACAAATGTACAAGGTCTCCATTGCTGTTTTGCTGAGGTTCTAGAGATCATAAGTGCTGTGGTGTTAAATACAAAATAGGTTTTCCTTTTGATTTGTCTCCACAAATTATACTTCATATTTCAGGTCTGATTTCTTCTGTATTCCCATGTGAATTACTCTGCACTCTTGCCTATGCTTGAATTTCATCTTGTACAAAGTCAATATTTGATGTGATTCTTGCCTGTTTTCCGGTTTTCCTCCTGCTGCCAACTGATGATGGGATTTTACTGACTAAAATTCTGTACTAAATTAGCTTCCAGTTCTCAGCTTGGCTTACACATGGGCCATGTACATCAATGCAGCTGTTCCCTCTTGTAAATCAGCCCTGAGCAGTACTGGGGCTGTCATTTTTCCAGGCTTTTGGGTCTACTGTTTAGCTGCAAAAGGAAAAAGAGATGACAATATCAGCTTCCAGTCCTGGTTATTTCTCCCCTTGTCCTCCTGTTTCTTGTTCCTAGAGAATTCCTTGTAACTTACCCCTCACAACCAGCAATCTCAGTCAGAGGCAAAAGGTGAAGACCATTTTTGGAGTTAAAGGATTTTGTGGGTTCTGATGCAATCCATGTTTCTTACCTTCAGCTGGGAGCACTAGGAATTCCAGTCAGGTAGAGCTCTTGTTGTTTGAGGATCACCAAGTTTTTCATGAATAAGGAATCCAAGGAATAACTGGATGTTCTGCAGGGTAACATCACACAAGTCTCTTCAGTCTTTATACACTGCCTAAGATCTGAATTCCCACTAGTGGTATTGTTATGTATTATGGAAGTGCCTCCTGTCATTCTGAGCTCTAAACTCGTGCTCTGGCTGTCATCAGAGAGAGACTGGTTCCTGTTATTTAGTTACAGATAACTATGTAAACTGGAATGTACCACAGTAGATAAATAAGTAATGCTGATCTTTCTTGCTTCCCTTTGCCTGAGCCCTCTCTGAAGTTGGGTTTTGCCCTGTTGTAAACACTATGGTGATTTTCCCTTCTTAATTTCATGGCTGATTCTGCCTTTTTCCTTTGTGAGCAATATGTCAGCATTTCTTAGAGCAGAGTTTGTAGAGTGCGGAACTGAAGTCACTTTCTAGTGCTTAGGGAGTAGGGGACGATGCCTGGAAGGGTCTCTTGTTCCACTGTAACAAAGACACAGTTAAAACTCAGGTTTAGTTGTGCTGTAGTCTTCCTAGAAAAGCTGCAAATTACAAGTCCCCTCATACAAATTGAGTATATAATTTAAAGCTGGATAATAAATAAATGAAATGCTTTATATGAAGTGGTGTGTCAGGAGACCCACCTGCAGACTAGGTACTACTGGCCTGACATGTGCTGCTCTCCTCATGTTCAGGTGAATCAGTAGCTTGGATGTAGCATTGGAATTTCCCTCATGCTGCTTTATTCCCCCCTCGTTTTTCCCAGTGTTTTACAGACAAAAGAGCTCAGCCACTCAAAGCCAAGTAATCCTTGTGGTGCCTCCTGCTCTAGAGGTCAGGCTTGATATTTGCCCAGTGGAAGGGGGGTGGTATTCTTTTCAAGCCAGTCAGACCTAAAGAGCTCTTGTGAAATCACTGGCACGACACCATGTTTCCATAGCACTCCGACTGGCAGAAGATCCCGCTGTGAATGTTAACATCTCTGTGGCACAGAGCCTGGGCACGGTCTACTGCCTGTGCCATTAGTGAAATGACACACCGAAGTACGTCGGGGTGTTTTGTCAGAGCAGGGCCGGTAGCTATAGCTGACGGGCTGGATGTTAGCTTGTTTTATTTGCAGCTAACAGACACCACTTGTGCTTCCTAACTGTGGAATTGCAGAGGAGCACACTGAGTGAGAGCCAAAGGAGTTGATACTTGTTCTACTCATGCAGTCTTGACTAAACAAAAGCATGATTGTACATGAGCTGCCCTCGAAGCTGGCTGAGGGTTTTCTCAGGAAGAATTCAAAAGAGATCATGGTTGATACTCCCAGCAGCATTCTGTGAGCTGCCTGCCAGCTATTGTCTGCCTTGGCTTTGTGGAGTTCTTTACACTTGGAATACTCAGTACTGCTCTTGATATGTCTGTCTGCCTCCAAAAAGCAGTGTGTTCCTGGATTTGCTTCTTTTAACCCTTCCACTTCTCTCATATGTAAGTGCTGTTGTAACTTCAAGGGGTTATTGCTTCATACTTGTCACCAGAAATGTTAGGTGACATCACTAATAGCTGCCATTCCTCACTCCCTGGGGCTCTGTTGATGCTGCTTTCAACTATATCCATCCTAATGATGGTGCAGAATGGACAGAATTGGGATTTGGTTTAACTGTTGGTGATGCTCAGACAAGGAGCTCTCACTACACCTTGATTTGACCTTATTAATGAAGGAAATCTAGTGCAAGTTGTGCAAACCTGGGATTATCTTGTGGAGACTGTGTGAGATTTTGAAAGGCAGGCACAGCACTTGTTTCTCATCTATGAAATATGTGGTGGGATGAAAGAGAATTGGCACACTCAGCCTAATCTTCAGTTCCCAGAAAAATCCTGGCACTATTTGTAAGCATCCAGAAGATTGGAGCATGCATAGATATATTTTTTCCAGCACAAATTTTGTCATATCTACCCATCTTTCTCCTGTGATGGTATTAGGTAAATGAAGGACGTGGGAGATGTGACATACATTTTAACATTAGTAAAGCTTTTCACATTATCTGAGGTGAGATTCGTCTAAGTCAGGGAAATAAAAGTGCCACATCATCTTAGCCAAGCTGCTTATAAAGGCATACGCAGGAGAGCTGTCAGGAACTTGCTGGAAAAAAGCATTTATTAAGTCTGCTCTGTGTAAGGATGCTCTTGGATCAGACAGTGCAGCCACAAAGGGCAAATCCTTAAGAAACTGGGATTTGTTAGGTGAAGCTCAGATGGTACCTACTTAGAACAGGTCAGACTTCCTTCTAGCACAAGCAGTTCAAGCGTGGTCGATCCACGTTGAGGCAGAGGAAGAGGGTAAGTGTCACAGTGTTTTCTGAATCAGTAGACCATGTTTTTAAAGGTTGATGAATTAGCTTCCACCCAGTTACAAGCTGATGCGGATGGGTTGTTAAATTAATAAAACAGTGAAGTAAATGGTGTGTGTCCATGTTAACAAGATCACCCTTTTGAAGTTTAGTGATGTTGAGTCACAGATGACATCTCCCATAGGTGTATTTTAATGAAATCAGAGATACTTAGTAATGTTTCCTATCTGTTCACTGTTCAGCCTAGTTCTGAAAGCCTTTGGAATGGAAAGTACTATTTGGTTTTCCTTTTAGACTGTATTACTGTTAATTATTTAAACTTCTTGTTTGTGGCCCCTCTTCTGTGAGGGTGGTGAGGTGCTGGAACAGGGTGCCCAAAGAAGTGGTAAATGCTCCATCCAGTGTTCAAGGGCAGGCTGGACAGAGCCTTGGGTGACATGGTCTAGTGTGAGGCATCCCTGATGAGTTTCTACCTTTGCTTTCACTCTGAGTGAATAATCAACTGAATTCTTTCACCTTGGAAAAGATACTTCAAAAATCTGACCATTTTCATGACAAAAGATTTGAGTAGAATGGTGCCAATTGCAACACGAGTTTCAGGGCAGAGATGAGGGTACCCAAACCCCAGAATCATTACAAAATCCAGAACAAAACTTTGCAAACAAATAAATGTTTAATTGCATTGTATAATGGATGTAGATTGGTTAAATATATTATTTTACTCTATAATTTATCGCTCTTCCAGTTCCTTTAGCAGTTCATCAAAGTGAGTGATGTACCATTTAGCTTTCTCCTTTACTTGCTTTCTGATTACGTTTCCTCCAAATCCAATGAAACAGTCCTGGCAAAACAGAAAGAAAAGGCACATAAATCACTGCAGTCCCGTGTACTGGGAATGGAATGGAGCTTCTCAGCAATTCAGTTTGATTTTAAAATGCCACTGTTCCTCCCTGCCTCTTCTCCTGCTTTACTCTGCATATTCATTTTTCAAATTCATTAACAAGAACTTCATTACATTTGATTTTGCACCACGTTGGTTACTGCAGTTTTGTTCCAGTACGAAAGCTGTGTTTCAGTGGCTTCAAGATTGTTCAGATTTGAGATTTTACTGAAGATCTGATGTGAACCGTGATGCAGCATAAGGCCTTACTACTCAAGAATGAGTTAACATCCCAACATGCATGCAGCATCTCACAATTATCCTTATACTGTTTACCTTAACTCTGTTTACCTCATTTGATAGATACCCAGAGTACACATTAACCATGGCTTCAATCATTAACCAGGAGCAATCATTTCTACATCTTAGAAGACCATCTGCAGTGAAAGTGGGGTGTGTAAAATTTCCACTGCTGCTGGTTTGTCCTTAGGTAGAAAGCATGAAGCTTTGGTCATGCTCATGTTTAACAGTAAGTGACCAGCTGTCATGACTTGCAGCAGCAGCAGCTCTCTCAGAGTTTGCCCCTGTGCATTTCCATGCACTGGGGGATCTGTCCCTCAGAAGGGGTGTCAGGGTGCTTTTACACAGAAAAAGGCACTAAAGGGGAGATGGAATTAAGATCTCTTCTGCAAAATGATCATTTATAAAAGTTGTCTATTGATTTTGTTGTTATTTCACCCTGTCAGGGCTGTCATTCTGTCAAAGGTATCACTATACAGTGACATGAACTCACTTGCTAAGCCAGTGTTGGGTAAATGTGCACCAGATCTGTGCCAGACCTTCATGCTAAGCACCGTTAATCAGTGTTCAGAACTAGGACCTTGGCAGGGTATGACCTCTGCACCAAAGTGAGCACTTGCTGTGGGGACACAGGGGAAAAGGAGAACGTGATAATATCACCTTGATTTAGGATAGGTTGCTTGGCTACTAAACAGTCCTGCTAGACCCAGGAGCATCCTGCCTTAGAGGGTAATACTTTCTGAGATTATCTGAATGGAGAGAAATGAACCATTGCATGATGCAGGCTTTGTAGAGGAAAACTACCTACACAGATCACTTTTAGGTTGTGGGATGTGCTAAAGATCTTCCCTGAAGTCCTGTAAAGAATTCAAACCACAGTTTTCATCTGCCTCTGTGTGTGTGTGTGTGTGTGTGTGTGTGTGTGTGTGTGTGTGTGTGTCCCGCAAAGGATTTGCTCAGAAGGAATTTAGAATTCTAGTTCTTTAATACTTACAGCAGGGGGACAGGCTTCCATGTCTGTAGCTCCATCTCCAATCATAACTACTTTCTTAAAGTGGAACTGTTCCTTCAGATGAGAAATAACCTTTCCTTTCCCCCCTGATTCAGCTGTTGGTTGTGTTTCATCAAACCCTGCGTATTCTCCTAGAGCACAGTAGAAGAACAAGTTAGAGACACAGCAGTTTCTCTTGTAAGTGAAGAAAGATTAAATCCCTATGGTCTTTACTTCAGAAAATGGCCAGTTACATGCAGTTGTGTAAGCCTCACAATATCAGCATCCCAAAAAAGTAATTAGAAGGTAAGCTGGTAAAATCCTAGTGAAGACGAGGATTTTACTCAAGTCTTCAGTGGGGATATTTTTAAAGACCCAAAATGCTAAGACAAAAGTAGAAACCCTGTATGGGTGCTGTTACAAATTCACTCCCGGTCACCATGGTGTAAACATTCCAAAAGCAGCATCTAGTATGATGTATAGATTGTATGAAACACTGAGTAAGAAACAAGCCACTAACTATAGCTCTGCTTGATTACACTAGCTTAAAGACCAGAGCAGCTCTACTAAAGTGCATTGGTCTCCACACGTACCTCACACAAAAGTGAAGTTTGCCTCTGAAAGCAGGTAAGTGGAAAAGACTCTTTTAACTTGAAGGAGCAAGAGAAAATGAAACTCTGCTGTCAGCAAATGTAAGGTTCTTTACCTTTGGCACAGCTTGCAATTAAAAAGTTAACTACAGCTCTATTTTATATGACTGGAAAGTGGCCTAACTCATGTTTTTGGTAAGGTCTTGGAGTTTTCCTACTTGAAGCTACTGGATTGGTAGCAAGTAGGTCTAGGCTGGGCAGTATCTATAGCCCAATATCTGGCAGTTTGAACCAAAAAAGTGGCATTAATGAGCAGAGAAAAGAGACTTTATGGGA